GGGGGGGGGGGGGGGGGGGGGGGGGGGGGGGGGGGGGGGGGGGGGGGGGGGGGGGGGGGGGGGGGGGGGGGGGGGGGGGGGGGGGGGGGGGGGGGGAGGCTCATCGCATTCGACACAACATCGTGGCATCATGTCCAACGTGATTCCTTCCCAGAAGTCGTCGGCCCAACCAAGAAGGACTCCAACAACCATAAAAGTCAAAAAGAAACGCCATGTTCCCTTTCTTCGGCGTTGACGTCTGCAAAACACCAGTGATGCCACAAGTTGTTTGTTGTGTGTGTCTTGTGCAGTCCGCCATATTTTGCGTCTTGAGCCCTCGTTCGTGTTTGCTCGTGTTTGCTCGTGTCTTGAGGGGCTAAGAAGTAGGCATTCACAAGAGGAGACTGCCTTATTCACATTCAAAAGCAATCAGATACCGCGAGGCGCGAGAATCGAGCCAACAAACAGTAATATACTCATGTACTAGGACTTACGCTCGACAGGAGCTGCGTGACGTAGTTCACGTCCAGGAGGCTCTGGTCATCCCCCGGCTTCATCTCCGTACCCCCCAGCTCCTTGTCGAACTTCTCCCACACCGTGCCCGTGATCTACGCCACAGCAACACCAGGCATTTCAAGGGGGGGGGGGGTCAAGGGCAATCGTTGGGAACAAATACGACCATAAAAAAATATACACATGCGAGCCATGCGTTCGATACCGTACCACTGGCGGCAACGGCAACGGCGACAAAAAGGTACATGCACGATGTGTAGAATCAACGCCGCAGGCGGCCAGGACCAACAACACAAACAACAACAGCGACTCCGACTCCGACTCCGACTCCGACAGTAAAAATGGGAACCAATGGCAGAGAACCAGGTGTTTCGAGGGGGAGAGGGAGGTCGGGACAATCGTTGGGAACACGGACGACGACGAAAGTACACGCCATGTGCAGAAACAATGCAACGGCGGCATGGGTAGATAGAATGAAACGGTAGATAGAATGACGCCGCGGCGGCACCACCGCCAACAGCGGCAACGGCGACGCCGCCAAGGTTTAACACATACGGCATGCATGTACCTTCGTGTCCGGGATCTTGTTCCAGAAGAGATTTCGCAGCGCAACGTCGGGCTTCTTGTTAGGCTTCTTGGGCCTCCCGTGAGCCAACGAAGGCATATCTTTCGATCGGACATGGAAA